GCGATTGTTACCTCTTTCTTTTTAAAGGTGGGGTGTATGAATGATAAGTCATTGCATATTTTAGACACGAAAAAGCCGATACAAAGCTTATCTTAGTGGAAAATCCTCTTCTTAATCTATATACGTCTTCATTTATCCTACATTTAATAAATTAGTGTTAAATAATGTATAGAGCGACAAAAACCTTGTAAGAATTCCTCACAATATAATTTCCTAAACATGAAGAGGTTAATGCCCACGTTTTATATTGGCATTAGTGTGTAAAGTGTCTATTTTTATATGTTAATTTTGATCTTGTTTGTAACACATCTTTCATAATAATTCATTAAAATAATAATTTCTTAAGAGATTTTATTATAAGATGCGACTGTTTTTATCCTGTCAAAATATTCCGGATATTATATTGATTAGAATAGTTGATCACGTGGTTTCTATCCAACATTCTGTAGTGAGTAGGTGGATAGCTTGTTGAAGACAGCACTCTTCTCGATTTTTTGACAAAACGCTTCTTGTATAGATGATTACACACAAAAAAAATGCCCTCTTTATACATTATTTTCTTTACTTTTTGGAAGAATAAATGTATTAAACCAAGTACCTTAAAAATATTTTTCTTCTTTGTTTTTTTTTATGATAACGAGCTATCTTGTTTTTATGGCATGGTAATAAATTTTATGAGATGTAATAAATCTATCATTGTGTCTTAATTATTCTTATGTAAATATAAATATAATTTGTATCATTTTTTCTCCGTTGCGTGACGTAAACGATTAAACTTGATCATTTACTTTAAACTGTTATTTGTATTTAAAAAAATTATTTATAATATTTTTATTTATTTTACGATAGACACAAAATTACTTTACGTTTAAATTCCAGCTGTACCGGATATCCTGAACATGTTTCTGAGTTGCACGTTTTTCCAGAATTTATGTTTTTGATGACGATCGCCGATCGTGTGTCATACTTTCCGCATTCACTAAATCATACTTTTCTCCCTTTTTTTGCGTGTGTAGTAACAAAATATATAAATTTTTTTATATATTTTTTTTCAATAAAGAGCTTCTTCAGTTTCCATATTAACTACCCAATTAAAAGTATTTAATTACCATTTCAAATATATTCAAATAATTAAATCATAATTATATGCTAAACATAGAAACAGAATATGATTTAAATTTCAAATATGATTATTTAATATTGGATAGACATTATAATTTAAATAATATTTTAATATTTTATTATGTCTGAATTATTAAATACAGTCAAACTTTTGAACAACTGCCACTGAAGGAAACATTTTTTTTTTGTTTGGAGGTTTTTATATGCATTTATGTTTAAGAAAAAAGGTTGGCCGTTGTTAAGTGGTGGCCGTTATTGGAGGTTCGACTATATTACGTGCTATTTAATTAATACATGAATTTTCATTGCAGCATAAAGGTATATAAGTTTAACATTTCATTGATAGTAATACTTTTCATGGTAATTTATTTCACTTAAATTAAAGATTGAAGTTCACTTTTGTTCTTAGAAAATAATTGCAACATATTTAATTTTTACAAATTTATTCGATAATTGAAGCTATAATCTTATAAAATGTCTGCTTCATCAATTAAAAAAAAAAGTTTAATGAGTTGCCAGGTTAAATATCACTGAAACTACAAACTTCTACGATGCTAGAACATAATGTAAATGTCTGATAGGATTACTTTCAAAAATTTCGAAAATTAAAGTTTACTAGTTACCAAAAGTTTTCCTAAAATTAAATTATTTAAGTAAATAAGTAATTAAAGCTGCAATTTTATACATAAAATATTTGTTTTTAATTACCGTTTAATATTTAATTAAATAGTTACTATAAGTTAAATAAAATTTAATATTTTATTTCAAACTAAATGCTTTAATAAATGATTAAAGTTTAAGTAGTAATTATTTTTAAAATCATAAAATAATTTAATCTTTTCTAATTAATAATTATAATTGGTAATTAATTTTTAAAGTTGATACATTTCAACAAGTAAAATTTTTATTTTAAAAAAAAAGGCTTAAAATATTAAATTTTTAACTTTAAAATATAATAATATTTCGTAAGTATTTCTAGCAGAATATATTATTTATTATAGAAAAAAATCTAACAATTTTTCTATAAGTTTTGTAATAATGCTTGTGTCAATAACATTTTTCTGGAACATTTTTTTTTTTAATATAGAAATCTAAACAAATATTTTAACGTGTAATGTATATAAATTAAAACAGCTTATGTTAAAATGAATTGAGGACCGGCTGAAGACCTTTGGATCCTAAATTATTTAAGCAGGATGTAGAAACACGAAGAGGCACCCAGGAGGAGTGTAAACAGGACACGTTAGGAGACGAATCTCACAGCTAACTTGGCATAAAAACTATAATTTTAAAATGTATAAAGATATAAACTTAGAATTCTTTTTTATCAATAATATTTAAAAGTAAAGTGGACTAAATTTTTGTATGTTGAACAATTATTTTCTCACTAAATCAAATATGAATAAATAACTCAATCAAAAATGATATTTTTAAATATAATGACATAATTTTTTCACCATTAAATCGAATCTAAATTATATTAGATTAATTTTTACTCCTGATTTTCATATATAATTTAATCGTTATATCAACAGATGGAGCTATATGTTATAAACACATAAATCCAATAAAATTAAAAAGAAAAAAGCATTTAAAAATTAAAAAACAAAGATTTAATACACAAGTCTACTTTCTTTCCTTTATTTTTATTCAAAATAATCGATTTTAACCTTTACAAATATTAAGATTGCTGATTAATATTTAATAAATAAAAATATTAAAATTAAATATAATATGACTTTACTAAATATAATTTTAAAAATAAATATTACAGTTAAACATATAGAAAAAGATTTTTATATTAAAGTAGAGCGTATGCAATCTGATAAAATAGCGATTGATTGCTAAGCGGTTGCTCTAAATAATAATAAACAAACATGAATCTAGTGAATAGCAATGATGTAAATTTTTAGCCATAACTAAACACAAATATGAAAAATACACGATGTTGTAGTAGTTGATACGTGCCGTAGACTATACGAAAACGTCATGATTTTATGTATGTCTTATTGGTATTTTTCAAGACACGTTGTCACGTATGACATAGAAACGACATAGTAAATATGAACGTCGTTTGTTGTTTGTATCTCTTAGGTCAAAGTCAAGAGAGGTTATTTTAGCGGAATCGTCTCACCCTACGATGTTTAGAGTTCTCAGCAAGTGTTGCCACCCCTCAGTGTAAATGTGGACTCGTTCAAACACGTACAATTTCCGCGCGGAACGACCAAGCACCTCTCCAGTTCGCTACTGTCTGGAGTCGATGTGCGAGCCATGTGTATCTCTGGTGGGATGTTGTCGTTAGGATGACGGTTAAAGCAGCAAGTTTACCGTCACTCGGGTATAAAAAGTATCAGGTTAGTATACCTTATACTCTTTATTTTGATCGCAAACCACTGTCCTGTCTCTCAAAGCATAAATCGAAATCTTTGATATTTATCTGATGCTTGGTAAGGTGGATCTTCCATCGATCTTGTCATACGACCAGTGAGGCTGTGGTGAAAGGTCGTACTACGACCCCTCCCAACCGGCAGGTGCCTCGTAAAGTATAAAGTGACATCAGATATGCTTGTAAAGTTTTGCACCATCAACCTCTAAACAATTGGTCAATGCCTTAAAGATCAGCGAAAGTTTTATCGTTTGTCCACTTAACTATCCGGAACTAAATATAGTGTTCGAAATAATGGAAAGTAATTATGTTTTGGTCATGTTCCAGCTTACGTAAATAATTTAATTTTCCTTTTATGTATAGATATTTAATTAATATTTTCTCTTTAATTATTTCTTACTCGAAACGCTGTTGGCATTAGGTAAATTACTGATTANACGAACTCGTGAATTTTTAACCAAATGTTCACTCCAGAATTAATACTGTTTGCTGGATAACTCACGCAATCTACAACTTTAGGGCGTTACCCATTGGAAGTTAACTTTTCGAAAATATAAAATAAAAAAAAATTCAAAAGCAAATTTACCAGTAAAGCGTTAAAAACAAACCTGAAATACTCGTCTTTTAATGCTCGTTCATCTTCTCTGACATCATTAGCAAAGCTGCATTCCTTTCTTTAAAGCTAGTTATATTTCTCCACTCGTTTTAAACAAAAGCAAACAATAATAGGATCTGAAACAATTAATTTAACCTTCACAAACCACTATTTAAACTAGATGTCAACATTAAGATAAATCGAAAGTGTCGGAACATTCCGACACCCACAATAACCAATCATAATTTATGTTATACAAAAATCGATTTGAAAATTCACGTGAAACACGAAGCGAGTAAGATACAGAGACCATTAAGAAATTCCTAAACAAAGGATGATAACAATAGATGCTTATTAACGCTAACAAACGGGATATGGCGTATAGCAGATGCGGTCAATTTTACTAGTATATAAAGAAAGAGAAAAAACAAAAACCCTCCTCTTTGACCTATATTCAATGTGATCCGCAATACGAAGATTTGGTGATACGACCAAATTTACCATTAAATTATGTTACTGGTTAATAATATAATAACATACTTACAATCATCAGTAAATCATCATTTTTAGTCGTCCGTATCGACAAAAAACATCGCTTGATAATTTCCTTAACTCTTTCTACCTTCTCTGCCTCGTTAACAGAAGCTCCTACATCGACAATGAAGGTAAATGTGTATTTTGATTCACGTACTGGTATGACATTATAGTACGTCGTGGCGCATGCTCTAAAATCCACTATGACATCACACACGGAGATACAGCGTATAATTTAAATTACGTTTTTATTATTTATAAACTCATTTAATTGAGTTATAAGTTAATAAATAATAAGTTTTAATTAATATCTATTTAATAATTTTATTATATTGTTTAAAAATTTTATTGCTCGAATTCATTAATTTTAACTTGTTTTTGGACGTGTGACCGCAATTAAGAAAATAAATTCCTATGAATTCCGAATTAGATATCTTTGTTTTCATTTTATTTTTCAAAGAAAGGAAATAATTGCTTCATATCCGTTATTTAATAATGCTACTATTTCTAAACTGTAGAAGGAAATGAAACTATTCATCATTTTATGCACTTTACCTATTAAAATTTCGCTCAAAGATTCGAAAGAATGAGTCCAGAAAAGAGACCTGCATGCTAGAAATACTTGAAAAATGAATATATAATAGCATTTTATTTACAGTTATGAAAAATAATATTCGCCTCATACATGCCGCGATAAAGTAAATTCAACAAGCATATAAAAATAAAATTCAGTTTAGTCTACTACCACTATAAATGACTTATCATTAGAGCTGTAACGCCATCGGATCGAGATAGTGCTTCGGATACATGAAGTGTAATCAATAAATCGACTTATTTCAACAGATACTGAGAACTTTAAATACTTAAAATCATTAACCGTTTTTAATGTTTCGGTAACATGTTACTGTGAATGTCGAATTATGCGTAACAACCAGTTTTTGATCTTCAGTACTTGTAAACCCATAAAGGAGACACTATATACAGTTAACTTGTTTTAATTATATCTATATCGAAGAAGTATCGCGGTGAATGTAAATATTATCTTAGTTACGTAAAAAATTATTTCCGTTTACTTAAAATCCGAGCAGGCATTCACGAAACTTTATTTACTATTTCATAATTAATAGATTTTACAAATACAGTATTTGTAATCGTATCAAATCGTTGATACCTAATGATGATTCATTAGGTAGGGAATTCTTCATTAGGCCTATATATTTTTCTTGATTTTTTAGCTTTAATACAAGCAATAGCATTATATTCTTTCGTATCTTATGAAATAAGTGTTTTATTTAGTATTCGGGTGTCAGGAAATTCGATGACTTGTGTTTTGTTTCTTAAAAATTGCGAAAGTAGACCGCGTTAAGTAACACAGCCTACTCAACTTATTGACACTTGTTAATAAGATTAGCCTGAGTTCATGCTTTACTTTTATCTCGTCTAAACGAGATGAGAATATCAAAATTTACACACGTGATCGAAAAAGAATATATTTTTTAAAAAATTAAATGAATTTAGTTACCTCATTTGCAATCAATTGTTCGTTCTGTAAATAGATTGTAGTGTTCCTAATTGCTTGGAAATCTACAGATTAGACGTAATTATTCTAGAAAACGCAAAAATTTCATTAGTCTTACACTAAGGTTATGATTTTGTTATAGAAAAATAATCCCTCGACGATGTAACACATTTATGTATTTTAAAAAGGCACAGACTAATCAGTCGTATGATAAATTATCATTAAAAATAACAAACATAATTGATTTTTTCTTCTACTCCAATTATAATTTCCTTTTTTCAAGAGTATAATCGAAAGTAAAAATCATTATAAATAAACCATACGGCTGTCAAAGAAAGAAAAAAAAGGGTCTAGTAAGGAAGAAATTGTTCAGTATGCAGTTTGTAAGTAAAGTTTAATTTTTTTTTTCTTTTGTAAAAGATAATATAACAAACACTAAACAGACCACCTACAATAAATGTATTTAAATTATTTTTTTTTTAAATGTGCATGGAAAAATGACAGAATTAAGAAATAGATGACGAACTAACTCGTGAAATATTACCATGCCAGAAATATTGACAGGTAGTATATAATAATATGCTAATATATATGTACAGTACAATATAATATCTTGCATCTTAGCCTCGAAGGTAGTCATTAATACATAAAAAATGAAGTACAGATGTTGATACACACGTAAGCAATCGTATACATAAACAGCAGTATTAAAAAAACACGATTTTAAAATTATTTATATGACAAACGTGACCGTATAAGTATTACTACATAAATTAAAATGATGACACAATATGATAAATAATTTGCTATATAGTCAATATGTTAAAAATTCCACATAAACTGTTTATCACTGCGGACAGACACCTGATACGTGCGGTTGAATAAGACACGCTGTTGTGGACTAACGTCGATAAATTACTGCTGTAAATTGTCTCGAAAAGTCTAAAGGATTAAGAGTTAAGTATTTGTTATGAAATAATATATTTGGTGAAATTTAAATAAATTTTAAATTTTCAGCAATTATATTTTATTGTTTTTAAAATTTTACTTACTACGCGTTAAAAAAATAACAATTACGAAAGTTAAAAATCATGTAACGAATTCTGTCTGTTACGAAAGAAAAACTATTAAATTACAATTAAAATTTTACTTTTAAATAATATTTTTAATGCCGAAATCTTTAAATTTAAGACTTGAAAAAACATTAAAGAAATTCGTTAATCAAAACAAGTCAATTAAAAGTATAAAAAACAATAAAAAATTATCGTTAACTTTCCGAATTTAATTAGGAAAAGTTCGTCAAAATTTGGAAATTTGGCTAAATTATAATTTGTCAGCATAAAAGTCTCAGTTTTAATTAAAAAGCAAGATTTCATACTAAAATGAATCTTTTTTTTAAAATATAAATATTTCTAATCAAAACTTTCCCATATCTTGCAGGAAAATAAATAAAGTAGAATGGCAAAGAACCATCTGGTAAATTCATTTGAAATTTTATTCAATTTTTACAAGTTTTATACGCTTATAAGGGAAGTTATCTAACAAAACAAATGCAAATAAGCTTCGTTTCCACGAAAAGAAAAAATTATCTGCTTAAAAATCATGTTTATCAAGCAATAAAACTATTTCAGATTTATTTTCAGACAAAGTCATTTTTATCTTAAATTGTTTTAATTTATAAAAATGACTGTTATTTAAATTTTCCTTTCCAAAAATATGCAAAACTTTATACATTTCTCTCTCTCTCTCTTTTTTTTTTTTTTTTTTCATTTTAGCCAAGGAAATTCCAAATTAATCTTGCAGTTGTATGGCATTATCATTAATTAATCTAAATTTAATTTGTCTTTTGATGATTAACAGTAACGCTTATTAGGATCAAAGGTTAGATATAATTAATATTTAAATATATTATTAAAGTGTTATGACAGGAAACTTTTTATTTTTGAATGTGTTAATAAAGAAATTCGGGTCTAAGAAATTTTGCCTTAATTATTCATATCGTCTTTCCTAAAATGTGTAAGAAATCATAAACCGGTCGATACGGCTTATTGCCTATTTATCAAATTATCTAAATGATCATAAATTTTCTTGAACTGAATAAATTGGCATTAACATGATTGAAAATTTCTAGACCTACGCTTTCCATCAAATAAATTAAGAGGGAAACACCGACAAATATATAAAATAATGAATGATATGTAAATTTTACCAGGACTATGCCCACGTTTTATATTGGCATTAGTGTGTAAAGTGTCTATTTTTATATGTTAATTTTGATCTTGTTTGTAACACATCTTTCATAATAATTCATTAAAATAATAATTTCTTAAGAGATTTTATTATAAGATGCGACTGTTTTTATCCNAGAAATTTTGCCTTAATTATTCATATCGTCTTTCCTAAAATGTGTAAGAAATCATAAACCGGTCGATACGGCTTATTGCCTATTTATCAAATTATCTAAATGATCATAAATTTTCTTGAACTGAATAAATTGGCATTAACATGATTGAAAATTTCTAGACCTACGCTTTCCATCAAATAAATTAAGAGGGAAACACCGACAAATATATAAAATAATGAATGATATGTAAATTTTACCAGGACTCAATCAATACTTACTAAAAGTTAATCTTATTAAATCTAATTTTCAATTTTAGAAAATGCATTAAAACTTCTATATTTTAGTTTTTTTTTCTATAAAATACAAGATCATATTTTTGATAAGTTAAAAGTAGTTTTAACTTATAAAAAAAATTCTTATATAACCAGTCAATATTATTATAATTGCATAAGTTTATATTAAATTGAATCAACTGATATTAACATCAAAATTTTATGATTTTTGAGTCTTTTAGATGAGAAAACAATGCATTACTTTCATGTATGATTTGAAATATTTTATTAAAAATAAATCTTGGTAAAAATATCAATATAATTATATAAACTTCTTTCCTTTCTTCCTTTTTACTGTGTATAAAATAGGAGGGAAATATATATATATATTTTTATAGTAATCGCTCATGCGAATCGATTTTGAGATTCTACAGGTGATGAGATTTTTCTTTTCTCTTTCTTTCTTTCATCCTTTTAGCAAAGCTTTTTTTTTAATAATAAAAAAAGAAGAAGAGGAGGAGGAAAAAGAAAGATTTAAGTGCTTGATTTTCCTAAAAATACATTATCAAATAACTGAATTTCAATTTTATTTCTTTTAACTTTCGACTTGTATTATTAATTTATTTTGTTCGTTTTTCTCGATTATAATACCATATTATAGTACTGGTAATCCTATTTGATGTTGTTGCAAATCTGCTTTAATCTTGCAAAAATTCTGTTGAATAGTTTGTTTCGAGCGGAAAAAGAAATCCGACACTTTTTCAGATTCTAAAAAAAAAAAAAAAAAAAAAATATTATTTTTCGAATTTATCCATTTTTCATATTTCTTTTTATTTTAATATTTTATTACTGTATTTTTGATATTTTTTTTATAAGTTAATGGAAAGATATATTCTATAATTTAACGAGAAAAAGAAATGCTACTTGGATTTCAAACAATAAATCAATATGGCAAATTTAGATTGATATTTAAATTCAATCTTAATATAGCTTATAAAGTAAAACCTCGATATAACGCACTCTTATATAATTCCACCCTCTTACAGCGCTAATTAATGTTCGTGAACGGATCTTCTTCGTAACTAGAACCATTCTTAGTTGTCTCTGAATTAATCAAATTCAAGATTTTGCATTGCAAAGGACCTTTTATCACCAAATTCTCATTACTTAAATCATTTTTATTATTTGGATTTTTCGGTTTAGCGTCAAACTCTATTTAATGCTATTTTCAGAGGCAAACAAATGGTGTCGCTATATCGAGGTTTTACTGTATATGCGTTTATTATTTAGTCTATTCTTATTTTATCATGAGAGGAACATTACGTTAATGGTCAATAAAATTTTCATACAGTTTGCAGATTATAACAAACGTTATGTATAATGTATGGTTCTACAAATTACATGAATATCAAGTCAATAATAATAATATAGTTAAGGTTAACATGACACTATATTTACGAATTTATTTAAAAATTTTCTTTGAAAATCTCTTTAAAAAACAATCCAAATTTTTAATTTATATTTATTTTTGTTTATGAGTGTAATTAAATTACTAGAAATAGGTTACAATAATAAATAATTGAGTAATTTAATATTTAAACACGAAGTTTATGTTTTAATTAAGGATATCTTGGTCACAATCGGGTTCAAATTTTATTGGAAATTTATTTTATACGAAAATAGTTTAATTAAAAGTGATCTAGAGCAGTGTTTCGAAAACGGTGTGCCGTCACAAAGTGTAAGGTGTGATATGAACTTTTACATATTTTATTAATTTCAAGCTTTATTTATATATTTTTATCACAATTGCTGTGCTTCTTATGCTTGTATTTTAAGTGTTATCTCATAAGTGCCGCAGCACTTATGAAATAAGATGACGTTCGTTTATTCTTTATTACAAGCCACGCATTTTTATGTATTTTAAGAAATTAAATGTAAAATAAATTAGTTCACGGATGTTGATGTCTGTTTAATAATAATAATAATAATAATAGGTTAGTGGCATTACGTAATTCTATTAATAATATCATATCAACACTTTTGAGGGGGATAACATTTTAGTGTGCCATGTTGAGACATGTCGAGTCATGGGTGTGCCGCGAATAGAAAAAGCTTGCGGAACACTGATCTAGAGAAAAGTAAGCTGATTATATATTTGTTATATAAATATATTTTTATATAATATATTTATCTATTACAGTCTTAGATATGTTGTCACCCTAAGCTGTAAATAGCTGTATACTGTAGCAGGCCTTTCTCATCTACCAAATAATGCGAGAGCCATTATTTAGCTTACGTACAGTACAAACTGACCCAGTATATTTCTATACACAAGAGCTTTAGAGCTAGATATATATCTGTTTTTTTTTTTTTAAGTTTATAATATTAAAAAAACATAATAAATATGTCTAAAAACTCTTGAAAATATTACTACTTATTTCAAAGATACTTCTAGCAAATTTATTTTTATTAATCTGAATGAGTAAGATTAATTTATTCTTTATAATTGTCTCGTCTTGATTTTAGTCATCTCCGGTCTAGACAGAAGTATCTAAAAAACCTAGGAAGCCAGACTATCATATGTCAAATTTTCCACACATGTTAACAGATGGAAACAATTTTTTATCTTCAAGAATTACTTTTTTTTAAAATCAACTTAAAATTTATAATATCATAAAATTATATTTCAATGGAAATTTATGAATATTAATAAACAAAAGTTAATTAATAATAGACTATAAAATATTAAATAAAACGTAGTAAAATTGATTTTAATTAAAAATTAAATTAACGAAAGTAGTAGTTGAAATCTTACAGGATGATAATCCTGTAAAGTATTATTTCGTTAGATAAATAGAGAGTTGCAATCAGCAATAGCTTAACGAGAGACCATTTAGTTTATTTATTAATTAAAATGGGAAAACAAATCAAATTTTAGCTCTAGTAAATTTCTAAATGATAAATTATACAACTTTATTGCCTACATCTTTGATTATTTAGTTTAAAATAAACTATATCGAATTTATATTCAATTTCTTCCCCCCTAGTAATAATTATTATTTTATCTCATCTTAGTACATTTGATTTTATTTATAATTTTTCTACATTGTGTAACGCGTTACTTCGATTTTAAGTTTCGTGTATCGTGAGTATAAAGATAATGTATTTATTATCCTACGTCTCCCATCAACATTGTGGCGCCTATAAGAAACGTGATATAGTTTTTACTACACAAGGACACACTGTCCTTGACTCGTTTGTTGGGAGATGTCCTCGCTTGATGAGTGCTTTAACACCGACTTGCCTCATTGTTAATTAATAAAAAAAATTATTTAAAATTTGCTACAATCACGTGATTTTAACTGAATGAACTCACGCGACACAAAGTAGATTCATTTTTAAATGAGCGCAATTGTAAACCTCTCCTATTGCATGCGATTCGTAGCAAGATAGATAATACTCCATTAACATTTGCTTTTTCTTCCCCTCCCTTTTTTGTATGGATAATAAAATTCTCAATAGGCAAGTAAAAGGAAATCCAAAGTACCTAATGTTTTTTTTTTTAAATAGTATATTATGGAAACTAGTGATGATGCAATATTGGTGATCAGTGTATCAAGAATATTTACTTTCCAGCATTAGTTTTTACATAGACTTAAAAGTAATAAAATTTAAAAGATATTAGTTTATGTAATATAATTACATTTTAATTCTAAACTTAAAGCATCGAATACTTTTTTCTTCTTTGGTAAATTTATTAAGAAAAATTTGATAGAATTTGTTTAAGAATTAAATTTCTTCGCTCGTGTATTAAATTATTCAAAGAATGAAAACGTATTTGAGAAACTTTAAAAAAAAATTGCGTGTCTTGAATTATGCATAAAAATGTATCAAAATGTTACAAAAATTGAGAATTTCGCATAAAAAAATATTAATTAATTATTTTAAAAAATCACATAAAACTAATTGGTTTTAAGTTTCTTGTTATTATTATTTCTTTAAATTTAAAATTAATTTAATAAGGATTTATGAGAGGATAAATAACCAAAGATAATTTATTTTTTATTTCTTATTTTTTTTCTTTGAAAGTTGGGTTTTATTGAATAATTCTAACAGATATATGTCTCTCTGTTAGACTTATTTTGTATGACATAAGGATTTTTATAAGTTATTATTTGAATTCTGAATATATAGTGTCAAACTTAATACGCTATATTTGGAAACTCNATAATTTATTTTTTATTTCTTATTTTTTTTCAAAATTCTTCTTGGAATTACTTTTAAAATGCATTCGAATAATTGCTTGCGGCTTTAGAATACGCGAAAAAGTAAGAAATGAAAAGCTGATCTTGCTCTTTCAGAAAGAGCATTAAAGCAATTTCGGACCAGGAAAAAGTCGAATCGATTGAAATGTCAACAGTAAATCCGTCTTTTCTTTAAAAAAAATATAATAAAAAAAGAGAAAATATTAAGTTCTCAATGCAGAAGATTGGACATTACTCGCAACAACAAGAACCACTTTTTATTATATTTTTCTTTTCTCTTACAATTTTTTATCATAAAATTAAACACAACTCACTGAAAAATAATGCGATAAAGTTTTATTAATTAAGGTTTAATAATTATCATATGCAATAAGTGGACCTACATTTATAATAGAAAATTAAATTACCAATAATTAGTCTGTCTGCCTTTAATAATGTAACCTAGTTGAATTGTATTGTTCGTACATTATGCAGTAATAAGTTTCATAGACTATTGCAATTGTAACTGCTACTGAAAATAAATTATGATGATTCTGGATATAGTTATAGAGGCTGATATCGACTCTCTAAGTGTTATTGAAAATAAATTACAGTGGCAAATGTTAATACAGTAATTATAGCTTGTTAATGTAAAAAGATAAATGCGTTGTATACACAATAAACTAATTAAATGTATGAAATAACTAAGTGTAATATTTGTTTAAATAAATTATCCGCATTAATCTTTACCACTTTCATTAAAATTAAATGACGTATTCCTGAATACTTTCGACTAAATTTATGTTTTTTACGCGCTTCTAACTTAATTAAAATTTTTAAATTTAATTAAAGATTATTAATTTAATTTCCAGTTTATATTTTTTTACTAATTTCAAAAAAAAAATTATATTTAATTTTTTTTATTTTTGGTACTATTAACGAACTTCGATTAAAATTGTAAAAATTGAAAGAAAGAAAATTCGGAAATATTAAATAATAAGACTCAAGTAAACAAATTTAAGTTGCCATGGAAATGTACGGCTTATAACTCATAACACTTTTAACGACAATCGATTTTAGAGCTTCTAAACATCACTACTCATCATATTTCGAAATTTTCAGGCATTTACTTTAAATGAAACCTTAGATAAATGTTATAATAATTGTTTTAGATGAAACTTTTTATATTTTTACGTTTCACGAGATCTAGACAGTAGACACAAACAGTAATATCTCGAGTTTTGAGATAGAACATGCCATTTACAACTCCATATTTCAGCTTTTAAGCTATATAGGAAACAGTTCCGAGAACGTCTTCCTCCGATTTATTTTATAAAAAAGAAAGAAAGAAAAAAAAGGGAACTTACTGTGAGTTATAGCCACTCAGAACAGAACGTATTGTCAGATAGACAGGTACTTAATCTTACAAATCGAATTTTCTGTATATTTTTTTTACAGTATTGAGTATTGATTTTATTGAGATCTTGGTTTATTCTGTCACTTTTGTTTTCAAACATATGCATTACCGAATTGCCATGCTGTTTCTGTATCTGAAAAAAAAACATTTATATATATATATATATATACACTTTATTGTTTTGTTAGTCTGTATAGCATTTTCTTTTGTTACATTTATCTTACATGAATATTTTAGAAACGTTTTTTTTTTTTTTATTATACAATGGCTTGTCTGACGTACCGAATTGTTTTATCGTTCAACTGTTATAACTGCGTTTAATGAATTAATGGGTTTTAGAGTTGAGAATAATGAAAACATTTCATTTGTTTGAAAGTTTACGTAATGAAAGGGTAGAAAATAATAAATTCAGTTTTTTTCAGTATATATTGCAACAATTGTTAGAACAAACGTGAAAGGGTGAATGCCATTGAACCTGATATTTTCGAACAGCTGTTCGTTGTTTGTCTTCTTTCGACAGATGTTGGATGTAATTTTGAAGAAAATTCATTTTTCCATCGCTGTCACTATTGTGTCTTATTTTATTCCCTCGTAAACTAAAAAAAGAAATATATATATTTAAATATTAACAAACCAACCAACTCGGTAATTTCTTCTGCATTCGTTTGCAATTTTTGTATTATTATTTGCATAAATTTGCATTCGTTCTTGGAATATTTATCAAATATTTTTTTAAATATTGGTTTCTTATTACTCAGAACTTCCAGTTATGAACTTAATTACTTTCGTTTTAAGAAGAGAGCCAGGAATACTTTTTTAGTATTTATTAATGTAAATAAAGATGAGAAATTGACTTACAAGCTACCTTTTATAAGTAATACATATTCATGAAATTTAGTTTTCACTTAATAAACGGGAAGTCAATTTATACATCACACCTTTTATTGATCTAATGGTAAGTTGAAGTAATCAGATTACCTGCCAGATTTATTTAACTACAATATTATTCTGTTACGTACAGTACAATAAGAAAATTTCAATCAAGTTTAATAATATTAATCTGCGGAATATCTTCTTAGTTATACTTGTAATTTGTATTATTATTATTATAAGGTTTAAATTAACCATATTTTAATTATTTATAATTCTTAACTGTTATTAATTAAATAACTTTATTACAATTTGAGTTAATTACGTGAAATTTGAGTAATTAAAATATTTAAAAATCTGCTTTTCGTTGAAATAAAAGTTTAAATCTAAAGTTAAACTAATTATTTTAATTTCACGAAACGATTAGAATTAAGTTAACATGGCTTTTAACATTTGGCACTCATCCCTCTCCTCATCCTCCTCTCTCGCTCTTTCACTCTCATTGAATTTTCTTCAATCAATTTTTTCCAAAGGAAAAAATAATAATAATAGGAAAGAAATCAATTCTTCGAGTGAAAGTAAAATATAAATGGTCTTTTCGATATTTAAAGAGATTACTTTTTACACCAGTCAGATACAGCGTGTAATTATGTCTTGTAGTTGAGATTCGTTACCTCTAATGACGACAGTATCAGGTGGAGATAGCTCCCATTTTCAAGCTGTACAGGTAATCATGCAACCTGTAGCGAAACTAAAGAGAGATGATGTAAGGAAGGTTTTCTACATAGAATATTTTTAAAAGTAATGCCAATAAAATATGCTGAGTTTGAAATATTTTACAACTGCGTTAGATATTTCGTAAATTTTTATCACAGTTTTAATTATTTTTACTAGAATTTTTTTATATTAATTTGGTAGAGGAAACGAGTAATTTCATCTGAAAGTTTTCAGGTATTTAATATCGGCATTTTCTTTTTTCTTTTCAGGTTCATAGTTGGCGATGCCTAGAATTTGTCTGTTGACTTTAGCAACAATTCTTTTCATTAATCTTCTGGCTGGATTCATTTATCTTCGAACATCAAGAATCATTCCTTACACAACTCTTAACATTACAACAGAAACTGAACCAGCAAAAGAACTAGCAACCGAAATGGTGGAAAAACAATTATCCGAATCTCATATACATCCTCATCCTTATAAATTCATTTTAAATAATGATAATTTATGTTCTAATGATAGTTTCACGTTATTGATCTTGGTCTGCAGCTCGGTAAAAAATTATGAACAAAGGAAAACAATTAGAGAAACGTGGGGATCGCTAGCAACAAATACTTTTAACAAGAACGAAGATTTCAGGATGGCATTCTTAATTGGTGCTGCAGAAAATGATACTTCTTCCAAATTGCTAGAAGAATCGAAACGTCATAATGATATCATCCAGGAGGATTTTATCGATTCGTACAATAATTTAACTTTAAAATCGGTAATGTTATTAAAATGGGTGAAAAATTATTGTCCGAATGTCAGATATATTTTGAAGACTGATGATGATATGTATATTAATGTACAGAATTTAATCGCGTCTTTAAAGAGGTTGGGAACACGCTCGAGAATTCTATTTGGTGTTCTTTTTAGAAAAGCCAAACCAGATAGGAATCCTAATTCAAAATGGTACGTACCAAAAGCACAATTTTCTGGTACAGTCTTTCCAGATTATTTATCCGGTACTGCGTATGCCATGACCAGAGATTCCGTAGATCCACTTTTTAACTCATCTTTGGAAACATCATTTATGGTAATGGAAGATGTTTACATCACAGGTCTCTGTGCGCAATCAGCTGGTGTTAAAAGACTAGGAATTAAAGGTTTCACTCACGGCAAGAGAGCAGTTTCTGGTTGTTCTTTTCTTAATTCCATTACGGGACATCACGTTAGCGTAAAAGATATGAGGAAAATATGGACAGATTTACAAAAACCTGGTTTAAAATGCAAATAATTTCGAATGAATTTATTTAATATAGGGACCAAGTATCGAAAGAAAGGTGAGTTAATGATCTATTAATCCGTTCAATGATGGAAATAACGTTTGTATCGATCAATGCAGATTAACTTAAGTTATATCAATTGTGATTTTTTGCAGTTTATTATCTAAAATATCATAGATATTATATACATACACACAAACACACACACATATATATTATATATATGTAATATGTACTTATATATTAGATACATAAATGTGCAATAATCAGGGATTAAAAAAAAACTTTATTTTGTTGTAAATCATAATTAAATGATTTTTTAATTTTTGAACGATATCTCGGCAATTTTATAAATAATTCAAAATGTGTACATTTTAATGGTCATTCCTAACAGCGGATATTTTATCGCACGACGAAACATGGTTTATTTTTCGAAATATACAAATTGGTGTATAAGAAAAAAACAAATTTTATACTGACAAAGTTGTCTTTATACGAATGTTAAAAACAAATATTTGTAAGCTTTTATTATAGAAACAATGTAATAAAAGTTATAACTTATTATTGCAGTTTCTCGTGTAAATAATTTAAATTAAAGAAAACTCATTAATACATATTTTTAAGAGTAAAAATATTACATAAAATACAAATTAAATCTTAAAAAAATTTAACGACGAATCTAAGGAAAATTCATTTTATTAAAATCGTGCTAGTCGATTTATTACAGCATTGTCGACTAGCGCTGTCAAGTTGTCAACAGCTTTCTTGCTTCGAATTTCTGTTATCTCTAAGCAACACCAAGCATATTTTCCCTTTAAGTTACACTTAATGTACTGAAAATTTTATCTTCCTCTTTCAATTCCTTAATATAATAAAATTAAATTTAATGGAGATAACACCGTATCGTTCATTATCGTGTAATCGTAAATAGATACCTCTTGTTCTTTCCACAAAACAAAAATTCAACAAGTAAACTTTTATATAAACTAGGACGAAAATAAATATTTCGTTCGCAATTTTCTTTATATAAATATATACTTTGACGATTTAAAAACACGGTTATGTTAGCGCTTCCTTCATTCGTCTATCTGTACCTGCTCGAAAAATATCTTGAAAATACCTTTTTTAGAAATGGAAACTGGAATTTTTCAGGATAGGTTTAGAGATCTAACGTAAAACTCTCATATCAAGTTTTGGTAAGGATCGAACGAAATGATGCACAGATTTCTATTCAAAAATTCTAAAAAATTGAAAAACAGAATCTATTATATTATCGATTTAATTTATTTATTTATATCTTCTAGGGAAGAAAATTGTTTTCATCGAAATTACTTATATACTAGTTAAATAATTTCTACTTAGATTCACATTAACAATAAAAATCGAAGCAATTGTTTAGAAATTTAGAAACTAGATGTATTTTAAAAGGAAAAAAAAAAACATTGTTAACATTACCTAAAAACCTTATTTTTTTTTTAGGAAAATTTAATTAAATTACTCAGAAATTTGATGCAATTCAATAACGATACGTCACAGGTTTATCTAACACGTATGACGTTTGGTTACGATACGTGATCTCTCTCTCATCATAACATTTTACCATAAGTGAATTAATTTGTTTATTATTAATAAGATGAAATGAGTCGTAGTGTTCTGAGGCGTGTCCAGACATTCTTGGAAAAAATTGAATTAAACGCGAAATATCTTTAAATATTAACTACATATCGATTGATGGTTAAACATCGAGAAACCCTACTTATCTTCAAATAATTTATGAACAGAATTTCTTATATTATTCACGTAAATATAATATAAACCGATGTCTGAATAACAACAGCTGCGCGGCTACTTAAAATATAGTTATATAAGTAATTCTTATTTTTTTTCTTTGAAAGTTGGGTTTTATTGAATAATTCTAACAGATATATGTCTCTCTGTTAGACTTATTTTGTATGACATAAGGATTTTTATAAGTTATTATTTGAATTCTGAATATATAGTGTCAAACTTAATACGCTATATTTGGAAACTCTGCCGAAATATAATGCACCATAACGTTTAAAAATACTACTAATTTTTTAGTTTTTTTCCTTTTCTAAATTCTTTCCACTAAAATATTTCAAAAATTATTTTAATGGAGGTTCTAATTATAAAATTGTTTAATAGAAGTCGGAATAATTTACATTAAAATTCAAATAAGAGAGAAGAATAACTTTAATGACGTGATGTTCTTAATTAATTTAACTTAACCAATGTTTAGAATAAAGTTATAAGGCATTTTATACGGTGTTTAATGAGAGGTCAACAAGTGAAAAGTTATAGGTTTGACCACCCCTATTGAATATTTAATGGAGTTAATAACAGTAGAAGGGCCATTCATCTGAGAATTTTCATATCATACATCATTTCTTTATGAGAAAAGTTTTAAATGAAGACGATTCTCATTTTATCCAATAAGGATGAATTCAAGTATAATAGGTTTGTGACTCCCCGGTGACTTTGTCTGATGAATCATTTATTGGAACTGTCTCCAAGTTTATTTGGAGAACGGCGATCAACATCCGATGTAAGCCCTTTTATTTTATAAATGGATCTCTGCCTTAAAGAATTTTGTAGATGGAGATATAAAAGTGAAAAACGCACTTATTGACAGTACATAGTAATAATCGAAAAAGTAATTATCATAAAAGTGAACTTTTTATTCTTTAACATTTAACGAGCTGGATCATTATATAATTGTCAAAGCGAAGGACAAAACGACCATTATGTAATTAAGTACGAAATTAAAGATTAAATTTACATAATTCATTAACATTCTTGAATGTTTTCGATTTATAATCTATAAAATTATAAGGTAATATTTAATTACTTAAGCCTGTATTTGCTACATCTTCATTATTCATTCAATGTATGGTAGTCAATAGTATGGTTATGCACCAACGCTTCTAATCGATCGCAGAAAGCATAATTTATTGCTTAAGAGCCAGAAAATAAACCACATCCTTCCATTATTTCAAAATCCGCATTAACTGACAATCGGTAATTTTAAGGAAACTCAATTAATCAAAAAATTACAGCGATGGAAACAAACTGGCAAAGCACAATCAAACTAATTACTGCGCGACCATTTTTCTTTTTCTCAGCTTGTCAAATTCTTCAGCTTTATCCGATTGTGATCGATCGATTTTCTAATAGATAGAAGATTTAATGACTTCCCTTTTTGGTGATTTATTTGAAAATAACTTTCACGTCAGATTGGTAGGATTTATTATAAGTGAAAGTCTTTCTTTTTCAAGTAAAACAATACAGTAAATTGTTCACATCGTTTAGGAAAAACCGATATAGATCAGTTATATATATAGGCCTATTATCATCAGAAGTTAATGATTTGAACGATAAATTATAAATTTAATAACGATTCTAATAATATATAAAAATTTTACTGAAATTTCTACAAAATACAAACAGAGATTTCTAAATAATTAAAAAAAAAAGAATACATTGTTTTCTTGGGATTAAAGAATGACTATCATTTATAAAAACTGTTTATCACTTTAAAAAGTGTTCCTTTCATGTATGATAAAAATAAATTCATAATATGTTAATGCATATATTCATAAGATGAAATCCTCAGAACTGTTTTTTATTTTTATTAGTCGCTAGACTGGCTGACGTAAACCAAATTGATGTTGGGTTAGCTCTAAATTTCTTCACTAAACTCAATATTCCTGAGTTTTATGGTTGCGAAATGTTATGCCGTACGAACTACTGGTACTATTGATATTTTTTATTGCGCTTTTGGTACTACATATGCAAGACTAAATAAAATAATTCATAATATATTATTATAAAGATAATTTTGTAATCTTTTTAAAAACATATTAATGTAAAATTTTTAAATTAGCATCTTCCAATAGAGCCAATATTAGAGGGGGCTCGAATTAGAACGTGAAAACTGTGGATGTAGACACTAGATAAGAAGAGCAAACTGCTAGATATTGTATATACATATGTATAAGTACGTTTTTCACATTTAAATCTTCTTCCTGTACTTATTTGATTTTTTTTTCTTCATTTATTTATTAAGGTAAGGGGGTCGTTTCAGGTTACGTTACTGTTATCTTCATTTACAAACGATAGATCTATTACTTCTAGAGTTTTGCTGATAACGCACATTTGCTTGCTTCCTATTAAGTTCTGCTGATGCCGATTTTCCTCACGTTTAACTAATTTAATGTGATCGATTGTGTAGTTTCATGTAAAAATATTACGTATCTACACTATTACTTTAATTTGATTTTTAAAAAAACGGATATTTTTTACTTATGTAAGTTTATTAACATTAGTTACAGGAAAGGAAAATCTACGAATTTAAAAAATATTAACATTTAAAAAAAATGTTTTTTTTTTCTAATGGAAACAAAAGAGAAAATGATGCGTAACTTCTATAAATCATATATGGATATTAGCTCTTATATCCTTTTGAATTAAAGATCATACATTAGATGTTATATTTCTGGATGAAATACGATATAAACCTCTTTACAGTCTTTCAAAAAAGTTGTAAAAGGATGTAAATTTTCAATATTTTATTTTATTTTTTTTTTTTACAGAGCGAAATGACAGCGAGAAGAAGTGACAATCAGTAAGAAAGGAAACATTAAATGGAAATGTTGATGATTACGAATTCATTTACTATCAAGACAGCTGTCTGCAGATGACCAAGTGTGGCATGGGAGCATGATTCCCAGCACGTAATTAACACTAGTATCTCTGACGTCTTGTGATCGATAGAGTCTAATAAAACTCTTGATTCCCAGGAGCAGATTGTTATAGACAACGTCAATAACTNGTATCTGAAAAAAAACATTTATATATATATATACACTTTATTGTTTTGTTAGTCTGTATAGCATTTTCTTTTGTTACATTTATCTTACATGAATATTTTAGAAACGTTTTTTTTTTTTTTATTATACAATGGCTTGTCTGACGTACCGAATTGTTTTATCGTTCAACTGTTATAACTGCGTTTAATGAATTAATGGGTTTTAGAGTTGAGAATAATGAAAACATTTCATTTGTTTGAAAGTTTACGTAATGAAAGGGTAAAAAATAATAAATTCAGTTTTTTTCAGTATATATTGCAACAATTGTTAGAACAAACGTGAAAGGGTGAATGCCATTGAACCTGATATTTTCGAACAGCTGTTCGTTGTTTGTCTTCTTTCGACAGATGTTGGATGTAATTTTGAAGAAAATTCATTTTTCCATCGCTGTCACTATTGTGTCTTATTTTATTCCCTCGTAAACTAAAAAAAGAAATATATATATATACATTTCAATTAAAAATTATATTGTAGAATAGTTGTAGTGAGATGTGTGAGCAAAATATTAAAAAGCAGATCAATAACATTTGAATATATAACATAAAAAATATATCATTGCATTTAGAATTCCATTAATAACATGTACGTAAATTATTCATTGGTAGAGCTCATTGTCGTAAAACATTTTCCGATAACAACCTTAAACATTATCA